GATTATCTTAAAATCTATTTTCATATCTAATTAGAAAATTTTAAACTCCAAAAATAGTTAAAATCAAAGAGATCTATAAACATATGAAAATCTTGAAAATGGACGTCTTATATAATATGCTGCAAGATGCACTATTTATAAGACTCAAAAACTTTTCTTTTTTATATTCATACATCTCGATGTCGAGATTATCAAATAGAGGGCTTTCAACATTAAAACAGCCTTTCCGATAGATTTTTGAGGTGCATCTCTAATTCTACATTTTAAGGTTGCAACCTTATATAAACCTTTCCCATCTTATAATATAAGAGTAAAGTGCAAATTAAACATCCTGAAAAGAGTTCTCCAATGTTAAAAAAAACTTTTAAATAGATCTTGACCTTGTAATATATAGTAATGAAGAAAAAAAAAACTTTGAATCTATTTTTAATACATCTGATAACAATTTATTTGGACCATTCATTTTCAAGATTTTAAAGTGTTTATAAATCCGCTCAATTTATACCATTTTTTAAAATTTTGAATTTCATGACTCAAGATGAAAATAGGTTTTCAAGCCATCATATAGTTTTCGACAGAGAATCTATCTATCCTGTAAGAATTTAAAGGTGCGCACCTTAGACATACCTCATTCATGTTAAAAAAAGAATTTAATGGGTGCCTTACACAAACATCACCCATAGTAAAAACTTAAAAATAATATAAACAAAAGAGAAATGAAAAATAAGTAAAAATACATAAAATGATAAAATTGAAGCCAAACGTTTCATTTCATCTAATAGAATATATGAATAAAAATAAAATTCAAAAATAAAAATAAAAAAACATTTTAGAAGGAAAAAAAATGACAAAAAAAATTGTACTTTATTAATTTTTGCTTTCGATTAAAAATATTGTTGGGGCATTTGTAGATCGATATGCTAAGAACATTTGAGAAATCAAATATTTTTAATTTTCGGATTCATAGAAACCCATCTCGAAAGTCCGACTAAGTTCCTAAAAACCCTGATTCTTAGTACTAATGGCAACACAAGTCCAACACAAGTCCTAGTAAGCCATAGTAGTCAACTTAGACCCCTTTAATGGTCTCGAAACCATCCAAAATCCGAATCTATAGTAGGCCCCGAGATAGTGTAGTAGGTCACGATAGATTTCCAACTGTCCAAAAATCATCAAAATCCGATGTACCAACTGTCCAAAAATCATCAAAATCCGATGTACCGTCTGAAACATATAGGCCGTGGAAGCCGTGGAAGTTTGAGGCGATAAATGATGAAGGGCGCAACTCACTGCACGTAGCACACGCGACAAGCCATATGCCGCGCAACCCAATGGGCTCAGGTCGGTCAATTTTTCATTCAGGTCCCATTTCAATTAGGATTTTGCGGCAGTAATTAATTAAAATATTTCAAAACAAAAATACACAAATTAATCTATTAAAAATAGATTTAGGATATTAGATCAAATAATTTCAACCTTAACCCACTCTAAAACCTATAAATACACCCTCTAAATTCTAAAAAAAACCCAGAAATCCCCTGGAGCCGAGAAATTCCCAGAAAATAAAAAAACTCTAAAAAAATTAGGAAAGATGCTAAAAAAAATAAGAAAAGCCTAAAAAGACCTAAAAATTTTAAAAATTCATCCAAAATACTTAGAAAAAAAAAAAACTTCTAAAACCCCTAAAACTTAAGGAAATCCTCTAAAAAATTACAAAAAATCCCTAAAAAACCCTATGCTAGAGACTCTAAACCCAAATCCTCTCAAAATTTCTCTATAAATCAAGATTAAATAATAGGAACAAGTTCTCCTACGTCTGAGCCCTTAGGCCCATGCTTTAAGAAAGCAAGTCAAGGTAACCAAAGGCGTAAATCAACCCATAACCTGATACTGGCCTCAACTCTGGGTTTTTCAGATATGCTAACGTTTTTCTCTTTTATTTATTTATTTATTGTTTTATTTTTATTTTTAGGTTATTTTTATTTCTTAGATTTAGTTAGAATTTAAGCTTTTTAGGTCTTATATTAGGTTTAGAGGAGATCCGGATTTGTAAGGATCTATGATGCCCCTAAACTTTTATTTTGAGCAACCCCACTATTTCTACAGCTCTCTAAAAAACTAACTCATTTCACATGAGATTCGAGTTGATCTCACTAATTGATCGGCATAAATTCGAGTGGTAATAGTATGGTGCCTACCGTTGGGCCCTCAAGCTCTAGATCAACTCATTTAGACTGTAAATAGCCTTCAATAAATTTATAATAATTTTTTCAGTAAATAGAGAATTGCTGAAGCCAAAAAAATGCCGGAAATCCATTGAAAAAGACCATGGAGTTCGATCCAGGGACTTCTTGACAGCGTATCTCGATCCAAGTCGCCAAGTCATAGCCCCCACGAACCGAGTTGTGTTGTATGGAACTGCCGAAAGTTTTTCTAGTAGTCTTGTTTTCAGCCATGTTTCAGCTCCCCGTGATTTTTGAGTTTGTTGTTTCCTGTTTTACGTGACCAGAAAATTCCAAAACAAAAAATACAAAATAAAAAATTAATATAAAAATAATAAAAGATATTAACAACAACAACAATAATAGTGATAACAATAATAATAATACTAATAATAATAATACTAATAATAATAATAATAACAATTTTAATACTATATTAATAATAAGGAAGATTGGGCTAGACTTTGATTAATTTTATCTAATCGGATTAGGGTTTTTAATCTTCATCTAATTAGATTAGGTTTAGATCTTTTGATATGCTTCTATCTGATTAGATTTACATTTCTTGATTCTTATCCTTTCCTGCCTCGTCCTTTATCTCTTGCATTAGTAGACTAGGTTGAATTAATCTCGTCTGCTTGATCAAACTTGTGTTGATTTTTCCACACATGTATCACACACATTCATACTTATCCAACAAAGTTTTTAAATGATTTTCTAAAACCCCATATACCGACATTGAAGTCGTGCAGACACCTAGTTTTGTGGTGGGACCATTGGCAGTACGCCAACAAGGAAGTGAGTACCCCTCTATGGAAATTCTGACCACAAAACAAACTCACAATAGTAACGCTCAGCCTATCGCAGGTAAGCTATACTTGAGCTTTACATGGGCAACCATCAAACCTAAGCTGGGTGTGAGTCTAGGTCTAGTCAGGTTCGAGTTTCTGTCTAGCCATTCCAAGTCATAGTCCATCCATGTTCGAGTCTGGGTCTAGCTAAGACCGAGTCTAGGCTAGTAAAGTCTAAATTTAGGTTCACCTGGGTCCAAGTGTCAATCCAACAAGGTTCGAATCTTAGTTAGGTCCAAATCTTGGTCTAGGTCCAGGTCTCTAGCCCAAGATCTGAATCTAGGTCAAAGCCCAAGTCTAAAATTCTGAACCTGAGCCCACACCCAGATCTATATTTAAGGTTCAAGCCCAATTTAGAGTCCAGGCCCAAGCCTACTCTAAATCAAGGCTGAAGTTCTAGACCTAGGTTGATGCCAGTTCTAGGTCTAGGTTCAATCTAAGTCCACATCTTAGTCCAAGTTCGGCCAAACCTTTTAGTCCATGAATCATGGCTCAGGACCAGACCAAGATGCCTTTAACCCTTTATTCCATCCTAGGTCTAAGGAGCAAGGTCAGTCTCTTGGGCATTACCATGGTGCACCCTTAACCCCTAGGACCAATGGGGGTATGTTTAGTCGCAACCCATTGTGGGCTGTACTTTTAGTCATCATATAAGACTAGATAGACTT